ACATATTAAGAAAGCAAGAGTCTACATTGAGAGCCGGAGAGAGATGGTTCTGCTCACAACCATCTATAGTGGAATCTGATGCCCTCTTCTGGCATAAAGTTGTACATGCAGATGGAGCAGTAGTATTCATTAAATAAATAAATCTTTTATTTTTTTTTAAGGAGAGTTCACTTGGACTCATAGTTTTGGAAGTTCCAGTGCATCAGGGTGTGCGGTCAGAGAGAGACAGAGCAGAGCAGTTTGTACCAAGACAGAGAGGGAGACAGGAAACATCGGGGAAGACAGACCCACGCCAGGACACTCCCCAAAAACCTGCTTTCCCGCCTTCTAGGTTTCTTTCTCTCCAAGCAATATGAAATCCATTTTAAATAATAGACCAAATTCCCACATTTACAGGGTTCTGCTTTTTAATTATCTATATAGGTTGGTTTTGATAAATATGCAAATATTACTAAAGAGTCAGCAGCTTGATATTGTTAACCCTGATATTTGCTCTGACCTCTGCCATACCCACACTTGGGGAGGGTTGCTGTTTTGTTTTGTCTTTCTAGACAGTGTTTTCTGTGTTTCCCTGCTGTCCTGGAACTTCTTAAGACATAAGATGTTTAGGGAAGTGCAACAACAGGGCATTTTAGGACGCCATACTTAGCAGGAGATGGAACAGCTGGATGTTCCAGGCAGGATAAAACACTCCATTTACAGGGAAGCTCCATTAACACAGGGAATAAACGATTCAAAACAGCTTCAGCCAGCCCCTGAAACTGACCAGGTCCATAGGTCCCTCCCTCCCTGTCTTAGTATCTCCATTGTTGTGAAGAGACACCATGACCACGGCAACTCTTATAAAGGAAACATTTCACCAAGGGGGGCTCACTTACAGTTTCAGAGGTCAGTCTACGGTCATCAGAGCAGGGAGCGCAGAAGCATGCAGGCAGACGTTGTGCTGGAGTAGCTTAGAGTCCTATGTCTTGCAGGCAACAGGAAGTGAACTGAGACACTGGGCAGTATCCTGAGCATAGGTAATCTCAAAGCCCGCCCCCACAGTGACACGCTTCCTCCAACAAGGCCATGCCCACTCCAACAAAGCCACACCTCCTAATAGTGCCACTCCCTATGAGATTACTCAGGCCAATAGCATTCAAAGGACCAACGATCCCCAAGAGTTTATAAGTGGTAAAGGCGCTGCCTGAGGAGTCAAGCTCTGAGAAGGCTGAGACATGCCCAGAGGCCTGGAAGAGGCTCAGGCCAACTGAGCCACCTGGAAAGGCCACTCCTCAGTCTGGCTGTGTAGTGTGCTCCAGATCCCCATGCTGGGGTGGGTTTCGGTGATGCAGCTGTCTTTGAGTCATTTCTGCTCCTGTAAGTGACCCCTTGTCTTAGCCGGGGCTTCTGTTGCTTATACAAAACTCCATGACCAAGAAAGCAAGTTGGGGAGGAAAGGGTTTATTTGGCTAACACTTCAGCACTGCTGTTCATCATGGAAAGAAGGCAGGACATGTAACTCTAGTTCTAATAGGTCTTAATAATAAAAGCCCAGAACCAGATACAGAGGAAAATGCGGAGAGATCAGAGGGAAGAAGGAGCAAGCCAGAGCCACTTTTATCTCACTAGCTTCCAGCAGAAAAGAGACTGAGTTCCTGTTTCCTCCAGCCTATATTCCTTTCTCCGCCCAGCCATTTCACTTCCTGTCTGTCTGTACAGACCTCCAGACCTCTATGGTTAGCTCGTGCCAAGCTCCACCCTCTGGTCTTCAGACAGGCTTTATTTGTACAAACAAGATATCTCCACGAGGACAGGAACTCAAGCAGAGCAGGAACCAGGAAGTAGGACCTGATGCAGAGCCATGGAAGGGAGCTGCTTACTGGCTTGTTCCCTATGGCTTGCCCAGCCTGCTTTTATAGGACAACCAGCCCAGGGATGGCCCCACCCACAAGTACTGGGCCCTCCCCCATTGATCACTAAGTGAGAAAATGCCTTACAGGTGGATCTCATGGAGGCATCTGCTCAGCTGAGGCTCCTTCCTCTGATGATTCCAGGTTGCATCAGGCTGACACACAGAACCACCGGGTACACCCCTCACCATTATTCCTGTAAATAAACGCCTAAAAAAAAAAAACTCATTGGTTCAAGTTGGACTTCGGTGGTATTCATACTTTGATCTGTCACGGTTTCCCTTTCTGAGGTGAGCAGACACGTATATGTTGTCTCTCCCCAGACAAAGCATGTCACAACAGGAAGTAATTCCTGCAGTAACTCACTGAAAGTTCAAATTTTAAAAATTCAAGATATTAATACATTACAGATTTAAATTTCTCTTTTTGGTATACACTGTTAAGAACTCAACATTTAAATTCTTTCTGCTTTTCAAATGCCTGTACAAAGAACTTTCATGGGGTCTGTCTTAGTCAGGCTCTGTTGCTGTGAGGACACCCATGACCACAGCAACTCTTATAAAGCATCGGGGCTCGCTTAGGGTTACAGAGGTTCAGTCCTTTGTCTTCATGGCAGGGAGCACGTTAGCACACGGGCAGACATGGTTCGAGAGCACTAACAGAGTTCTGCACCCATGGGCATTCTTCTCCTAGGGAGACACACACGGCCTTTTTCAGCTGAGAGTAGGTCTAGCCCTCTCGCCCATGGCTGCCGCGGGTGGGGAGTGGTCTGTCTGGTACTGCAGGGTGACTCCACCGTGCCAGTGCTGGATTAGCCTGAAGTCCTCTTCAGTTTGGTTGGGCAGCTGGCTGTGTCAGACCTGTTGGATCCTGAGCTCAATTTGCCCCCGTGGCAGTTTCGCTATTGGGGGCCATCTCTAATAACATTGCCAGTAAGATGGAATTTCTCTTTTCCTTGCGGGGATGGCCCAAGTATTGGCCGACGTCTGGTCCAAAGAGATTATCTAGGTCTAGAGTCAGGAATACCATCTGAGCTCCCGCTGCGTAACAGGTACATATTCCATCAGCACAGCCAAAGAACGCACCGTTGGAGCCTTGATGCTAGTCACCGACGGTGCAGCCTGCCCCCAGCCTGCCTGTACATTCTTCTCCTCCCAATACCTGGACCAGCCAGGCAGAAGTCGTCAGGGCTGTCCAGGGCTGTCTGATTTTCTAGAGTCAGGTTAGTGATCCCAACACAGGTGTAAGTTGCCTTGCTGGCCTTTAAACAGACCTAGCAACCTTTGTCCAGCTCCGGGTCCAACATGGACAGTGTCTTAGTTAGGGTTTCTGTTGCTGTGAGGAGACACCGTGACCACGGCAACTCTTACGAAGGAAAACACTGAATTGGACCAGGATTACAGTTCCGGAGGTTCCGTCCGTTATCTGTATCTGTATGGGCAGGGAGCACGGCCGCACGCAGGCAGACACGGTGCTGGAGAAGGCGCTGAGAGCCCCACATCTGGATCCTCAGGTAGCAGAAAACTGTGTGCCACACTGGGCGTGGCTTGAGCACATGAGACCTCAAATCCCACTCCCCCACGGTGACGCACTTCCTCCATCGTGGACACACCTGCTCCAACAAGGCTACACCTCCTCATAGCGCCACTCCCTAAGGGCCAAGTATTCAAACACACCAGTCTTTGGGAGCCATTCCTGTTCAAACCCACCAACTGACTGAAGTTTGCAAGTTGGAGCACTTTCATTATAGGGGCCTCGGGGTCAAATCTGGACAAGTCTTTTCCCAAGAAGGAGCAGAGGTCCGTGGATCAAGCAAGTTGACCTTGCCCCTGGCAAAGCCAAATCCACCTGGTGGCAGCTTACTTACCCAGGCCTACCCACACCCTTCGCCTACCCCACGGCTGTCCCCTGACTCACATGGCTTTTTATAGGGTACAGTTCAGACACTCAAGAATCGCAACTACTTTGATCAAAACTGACTGCACTCAGCCGTCTGGCGATGTGGTGTTTGTAGGATATGGCAACTGTGGGCAGGAAGCCAGCGCCTTCCCCAACAGATGAGCCCAAACCCGGAGGAGCATGCCTGCCTGCTGCAGAGCAGTCTACGCTACGCTGTGTTTGCAAATTCATAGTCGATGCGGCTACTCTCACTAGCATTCCAAGCAGAATAGTCAAAGACAACTGTACAGAGTGCTTTATCAATAAAAATTGCAGGGGCTTTCCTTCTTAAATTATTAACTGTCTACATTTATTCTCCACCCCCATTCAAGCCTTGCTGCCCCCTGGCCAGAGGTTGCATTTGGCAACCAATGGACAAGACAATGCGTGCACATTAACCTGGGGTGGAGGATAAATGTAGACTCAGAATTTAACCAGGTATTCAACATCTGGGAGAAAGACCGAGTGAGGATGAGCATAATGCCTGGTGTAATTATAGAGCACTATGAAAAATTAATGCCTATAGCAAAATGAATCACATAGCTGGGAGTCAGTGATTATACCAGTGACACTCTAGTGTGTCTTTGTGTCACAAGAGTGTACCCACGTTGCCACTATAATTAGCCCAATTTTGGGGCTGGAGAGATGGCTCAGAGGTTAAGAGCACTGGCTGCTCCCCCAGAGGTCCTGAGTTCAATTCCCAGCAACCACATGGTGGCTCACAACCATCTACAATTCAATCTGGTGCCCTCTTTGTGGCGTGTAGACAGAACACTGTATATGTAATAAATAAATCTTTTTTAAAAAATTAGCCCAATTTTGCGTCCAAAAACAAACTTTATTTTGACTAGCTAATAAATTCTGAAGTAGGGTGGGTGGGGTGGACGTTTGCTGTCCTTGGAGTCAAGAGGAAAGTTTCCCTCAGCCTCATCACGGCTGAGTTGGGAAAGAAAAGCAAAGCAGCTGCTTGTGTTTCCGGTGTGGGTTGTTTTTAAGGAATTTTCACACAGGCACAGCCTCCTGTACCGTGGGTCACCGCTCCACGTGCGAGTTCAGGTGCCGGGGGTCCGCTGACCGGAAAGGGCCTGGACGCACTCCGACAGTCATTAGCTCAAAATCAAGCTGGAGATGATTCAGAGGGGGGCTGGCAGCGTCTGCCCACGTCACACCCCGCAACCTCGCCGCAGCCTCGCCTTCGAACACACCATCCGCACACTTGGCACGGCGCACGCCACCACAGCCGAGGCCAAAGACGCAGCCAGAAACAACCTGGGTTCCGATTCAAGACCTCTGGGTGCTGTGAGCTGCCGTGTTGTTACCGCGCTCACAGTTTTCCAGGCTTATAAAAACACATAATATCTAATCACAGAAAACCCTATTTTACCGCCATCACTCCGTATCATGTAAGTATCAACTTGGTATCGCTTTTGACTGTTATAACGGAACATTTAATTTTTAAAATTGCTTTTTGAGGGCTGGCAAGATGGCTCAGCGGGTAAAGGCAATTACCATGAAACCAAACATCGTGAGTTCGGTTTCTTGAACCTGAACAGAAAAAGAAAATAGACTTCCACACTGACTTCCAGTATCACACACGCACATGCACACACACACATATGCACACACACACCCACGCACACAAATAAGTTGTTTGAGTTCCTGCACTATTTCATATTTTAAAGGTTGTCAAGTGAACTTTAGCCTGTGATTGGGACAGAATTTACAATCCTCAGACATAATTCACCCATTTTACACTATACATTTATGCGAGGTGGCATCTCAAGGTGGGTGGTAAAGTCAAGACATTGATCAACCCTGAAAAATGTGACAACGCTTTATGTCCACAGCGCCAAATATTACACCCGGCTCTACGTCTGCAACACCCCAGACTTGTTCACCCCAGACTTGAGTATGTTGTAAACATAAGCACATCCCTCTCACTAATGTGAAAATCTGCTTTCATCTGTAATAGACGGTAAGAGTGTGTATGTCAAAGAATTAACGACAATGTCTTATGCATTATCAGGAAATGTTTGATATTCTGGTGGTCACGTAAAGATTTTTTTCAGGCAAAAATTTAGGCAACCCTGGAAGTAACGGTTTCAGCCTCCAGAGATAGGACCATACTGCCATCTAGTGGCAGGACAAAGTTTTACAATAATTGGTTTGGATGGATTTCCCTTAAGTAAAAAGTGAAAAAACAAAAAACAAAAAAAACTGCCTTTTAGGTTCACATAGTTTAACGTCACGAAAGGACCTGGAGGGCAGGGTGTGGGCATTGCTTCTGAGCACCAAACCCTTGAAGGTCCTTGCAGAAAATGCCACAAACCTGATTCTGACCTAAAACATAACGGGAGCCCTTGCTTGGATAGAGGCCCCACAGCTACCTCTGGTGGAGACTTCAAACTTAGCAGGGCCATGAACCTAAAATTAAGCTAGTAAGATTCTGGGGGCTCAGACACCCAGACATAGTCATCCCCTCTCATAGGCAGCTGTCTACAACATCAGCCCAGCCAATGACAGTCGGAGAACGCTAAATGGAAATCTCCAGAAATAAATAATTCATGTTTTAAAATGTTTGCTGTTACTTTTTAAACCTCTATCCAAGTTTTTTTCTCCCCTAGGCCAGCAATTCCACTTGACAACTGACTAGCAACACAAGCCGCGTACACAATAACCTGTAAGGAGATGGGCGGGTGGGTGTACGTGGTGGGGAGGAATCTGGTGACGCCCCCACTACCTCACACTGTCGGAACACAGTCCAGAATGGCGTTAGGTGGGGGGTATTCTGAGTGCGTGTAAGGCAAGAGTCTTGTGACCTCAGTTTCTTCAAACACACAGAACTGCTCTTGGAATGTCCTTGGGAGCCCTCCCAGCTGCCGGGGATAGGTTACTCCTTACACCTAGCTGCGGGTATTAGTTTAACCTGTATGGGAAAAAAAATGTCCTCGCCACGTGCCGCTTGCCCCTGTGATTGTACACGTCACTCCGGCGACTCTTCTTAGCCCTCGGAGTGTAGTCGGACGCTCTGAATAGAGCTGGCCGTTGCCGGAGACTTCAGTCTGCGCGTTTCATCGGCTCTGCTCTTGAACCGCTTCTAGAGCAGCAAACACCACCCGAGGCATGAATCCTTTTGGCCAACAGGTGTACCCACAGACCATATGCTACCCCGCTAGTCACTTAGAAGCTGTCTCAGCTCTCAGATCCCCTGTCCCAGGATCCTACCCAACGCCTATGTTCAAGCAGTCTTTACTTCCTAACGGCCCCAAAGCTCAAACGCTGGCGCTGGCACTTTAGATGCTCTTTTAAAGGCCATAAAGTAATTCGGTGAAAAAATAAAAGAACAAGATGTTTCCAGGGAGAGATGCCACACTCTCACGATCTTTATTATAACTTTTAGTTTACTTTCAGCTAATCTCTTACCGGGCCTAATTTACAAATTAACCGCTACCATAAAAACATTCCATTTGATAGTATCTGAGGTTGTAGGCATCCCCTAGGGGTTACGGAATGGGTCCTCTCAGATAAGGGGAACAGCTATACTTACCCAGATCTAGAAAATCTAAAAGAGACATAAATAATACTAGGACCTAATAATACTTGTGGTCCCAAATACATAAAAATACTGTGGTTCAATTAGCAATAGTTTTTTTTTTATTCTCCAGATTTATTTTGGTAAAAAAAATCAGATATAACCTTTCAAAAATTACATTAATGTTTAACATGCATTCAAATAACTTTCTTTTTTTTTCCAGTTTAAATTTAGATAAGAAATGAGGTTGCTTCACAAGTCAGTTCCAGGTCCCTCTCCCTTTCCCTCCCCTCCTCCCGTGCCCTCCCCCCCCCCCCGTTATCCCCTCATTTCCCCAGGGAGGGTGAGGCCCTCCATGGGGGTGTGCATAGTCTGTCATTTCATATAGGGCAGGGCCTAGACCCTTCCCCAAGAGTTCAGGGTGAGAGTGCACCTCACATTGTTCTATGGGAGTCCAAAGTCCGTGTGTATACTTGGGATGGGTACTGATCTGCTGCCCAAGGCTCAATAGATTCCCTAGGCCTCCAGCAATAGTTTTATAGGGAAAACTGACTTGGTTCAATAGCCAACAGTTTGTGAACAGGTGCTAACAGAACCAGCAGACAAGACTCGTGGGTCACAATGTCCCCTCGGGTGTCCCCCCAGGAGGGCCGCTGTGAGGGAGAGTCCTTCTCAGCACCAGGACTTTAAAATGATGAGCAAAGGGATTCTTGTTTCCGAACCGGTAGCATGTGCTTCCTTGCCGCGCAACTCTGAGCCAGCGGGGTGGACTGGCGCCGGAGCTGCGGGGTGATGGAAAGAGACAGACCTAAGGAACTCCTTTCCACAAAGACCTGCACGCACGCGTGCGCAGCTGCGTCCTGGCGGCCCGTGCCTCAGTGGCCTTCGGTGTTCAAAGCAGGGAACATGCATGTGTCCCACCCCCTCTCCGAGCAGAACCAAGCCATTTGCTCTCTCTGCCACCCTGGCTAGCCCTGCTCCACCAGACTTGCAACACAGAAGCCTGAGGGTCGGACGGTACTCCTTAAGAGACTTCCCTGGAGAGAGGGGCTTCTCTCCCACCACAAACCCAAGGCTTGCCTGCACTCTTGAACTAAGGGACCCTGCCAACCTCGCACGCCTCTATTAAACAAGTCCCCGTAGAGTTAGAAGGGTCCTTGACGACGCTGCCAAGCGTCCCTGAGTGGGAGTCAAGCTCGACTAACGAACGTGTTCCTTTCCACCCAGGTCCCCAAGCCCTACCCTGCTGCTCTCTGCCTGCAGCCCTCTGTCTCCTCCCCAGTTCCTGACATGCCCTATCAAGAGGACCATTTCCTAGACTGACGGGTGGGCATAGATAGCCATGCCTTTCCAGAAAAGCAGACCTGTGGTCCCAACAACCAGAAAGAGCCACACTCCCTTAGCTAAATCCAAAGGGACTGCATTCCCAGGCTTGGTTCCCGATTGCCCCCCCCCCCCCGTGTGCTGGATGGCCTGGGCCAAGGGAACTGCGCCCCTCGCTCCAGAGGGAGGACAGTGGATGCCCGTGGACTGGACACGAGCGTCAGAACTAGGGGAAGGCTGTTCTCTGTGAGAGAGGGGAGGGACGGCGAGGGGGAGCAAGCCGGGTGAGAGGTTGTCCCCAGAGCTGAGCAGCGCAGAAGCAGCAGCGTGTCTTCAGCATGGGTTGTCCCAGGTGTGGCCAGCCGCTCTCTGCAGCATGGGTGAGAGGAGACCCTGGAGACGGAAGGAGCAGCCGGCTGAGAAACACAGAGGAAGGGCCAAGGGTCGGGAGCCCGGGCAGGTGAGCAGCCTTCACCAGTGAGTAGCGTTGGACTGCCCTGAGGCCCTGATGATGGGGACGTGAGCATTTTACCCTCACCTAGCCAGGGTCATGCCAGGCAGATCAGCTATGACGGGACCCAGGGTCTGGGGGAGCTGTAGTCCAGAAGCTAACACTTAACATTTCCTCCATCTGTATGCGGTCAAACGGTCCAGACAGAGATGTGAAATGCAGCTTGATAAAGGTGAACTTGAAACATCCTGAGTTGCAACTCGACTGTCTGACGCTATTTACTGATTTACAGACACACACACACACACACACACACACACACACACACACACACACACCATGCACCTAGGCCCTTAAAGGGCTGTCATTATCGCTAGGGAGGGAGCTATTGGAATGCTTTTTTCTTCCTACATCAATTTCCAGACTTACCTATATAGAATAGAGCCTTATCCATGGGGACATCCCAAGACCCCAACAGATGAAACAAAGACAGCGCTGAACTCTGCTATGCCACCTTGTAGCAGAGTCATATCCTGACAAATCCTCAAAGGTTGAAAACGTGAGTTGAAAAGTATTTTGTTAACCTACAGGGGGAACATCGAAGCTTAGCCTCACTTCATTAAACAAGCTCAGAATTCGAGCACCGGTCTACCGTTGGGCAAAATCAAGGCATGCAAAACCTATCCTGTAACAGTATTAAATATTGTGGGTGCTCTGTTTCGCTGTATAGAGAGCGAAAAACATGGTTTTGTAGGCACACATGGCACCACCGTGAAGGAGGCAATAAGTCAGGTTTGTCTAAACCTAGGACTGCAGCGCCCAGGGGAGCCGTCCGGCCGCTCTGCTCTTCCTGTCAAGGCCTTGCAGTCCCTTTGCCTGATCTTAGGGGCCACCAGTGGTGAAACAAGAAAGGCCTGACCACAAGCACTTGTATTCTGAGAGCTGAGAGGCCCACTAAGTGCCCCTAATGGGCACGTAGTGTGTACACCATGGGTACGCTAGACAAAGGGTGATTCCCATCCCACGGTAGGCAGAACGGATGGCATGACATTTCATCATGCTACATAAAACTTCTCAGAGCTTTTAAACCTACAGTTTATTCTAGAACGTTCCATCATATGCTCTTAGACTAAACTGGCCAACAGAAAGTGGGAAGTAAACGTCCTAACAGTGGACTAGCGTGATCAGACGCTGCCTTCATGTTCAGGAAAGGAGTCATGAGTCAGAAGCACACATTCCTAACAGGCAGTCCTGCATGCCCAAAAGAATGCCTCTTAAAAGTATCCTTGAGTTTTCTAGATTGATGGCACTCTTTGCTGCTAAGTTACAGGTAACACCCTACCTATGTGATTGAAAAAGTAAAATGATAATTTTAAAACTATTCAAGTCGTTGCAACCACACAAGATTAGCAGAAAAGTGTAAAATTCAGAAGTGCTGGCCAGCAAGATGACTGGGTAAAAGTGCTGTCCACACAAGCCCTAGACCTCATGGCAGACCTGCTCCCAGATGCGGTCCTCTGGCCTGTCGCATGGCCCTGGCGTGTGGACACCCTCGTTTACATACACAAGCATGGACACGCACACACAGGCACACAGGCACATACACATATGAACACACAAACACACACTATAACAGAGTAAAATAAGTTTTTTTTTAATGACACAGCTTGCACCTCAGAATGACTTCATAAGCTGTTCAAGGGCTCATAACCAGTCAAGGGAGTGGTTGAAATCCAAATTCTGGTTTGTCCATCCTCAAACCCCAGGACAGTATTCCAGCCGCCTCTCTGCAGGTGCTCAGTCAATTTCAGATGGCCTCCTTGGCACAACTCCCCACATCATCTGTCCGCCTATCACTGACAGTCAGTGAGCCTCTGAGCTCCACCTTTTCTGCAAGGCTGAACCAGGCCTCCCGAATGTTGAGCACACACTACCACTGGGGTACACTCCCAGCTCAGAGGCATACATCTTTGTAGCTGAGATGGAGCAAAATACACTACCCAAAGCCAAAGCTAGTAAAATGGAAAGCCAGAGCTGCAACTTATTTTCATTTCAGCCTTAAGTCACAGCAGTAGGCTTCCTTCCAACATAATCATTCAGATTTAGTATTTGAAGTTCTATGCTGACGATCAATGGCATCATAATATTCATGCTAACTGGGTAGCCAGCCAGCTGTACAGCCTGAATTTCAATACCCAAAATTCTGAAACCACATTGTGACCACTCTCAAGCTTTCAGCCACGATTGCTGCTAAACATACTTTGGGTAT